AAAGGCTCAAAATCCTCTAAAAAACCAGGGTTTTTGGAAAACGTATAAATCCGGAACGGAAAAAAGTCGCATCTTTTCGCATGTTCTGTAGGCTGCTCATCTATAGCTAAACAACTGCTAAAAATTTCAGCTTCGACGGACCTTCGCTAACTCTCGCGGACTCACTTTGCTGAGTGCAGCTTTTGGAAAAACATTTAGCGCCCAAAAAAGTTGATTTCTCTCACGCAGGAAACAGGCAACCTGAGACCTTTTTTTACCAGTCGATAGCCCAAATAATTAGCTTTCAGAATATATATCTTTCAAATTTTAAATGTGTTTGCTCTTATCAGAAAAAAAGAGGTTTTCATAGAAGCTACGAAAAATCAGCCAAAAATTGAGGCTTGCCTTTCTCAGCCGACTTAAGCATTTGGATCAAAATTTTTTCGCCGTTAAATCGGCCGTTTAATAGTGTATATATGACACTATTTAAATCTTGAAAAATCTCGCTTTCGATTTTTCCCCAAATGTCCGCCTGATTGTCCACTGTGAGAAGTAGAATAAGATCGTTTATGAACCACAGGATGGGCTGGGAGAGGGTCGAGAAAAGTTACACTAAATGACATTCATTTATCACGGTTAACCCTGATTTTGTGATTATTTGGCTTGACGATGCTATGACATCCAATATTTTGATACTAATTGGCGATCTTCTGTATTTTATCTCATTAAAATCTTCATTTGATGATCCGTGCGAATGTATTTCGTGTATAACACCATTAGAACGTAATAGAAGTTCTTATTTAATTACATCATTGTCATTAGTAAAACATGTCATTCCAATTATTCATAATCGAGTTGAAATTGAATCAATTTGCTTAGAGCATACCAAAAGTAACGATGGTGAAATCCCACAGACTAGAGGTAATTAAGTTTTCACTTCAGCAAGTATTTGAGCTAATAGACATGATTACCCACGCACAATAAATTTGTTTCAAGACATTTGCTAAACGTTTTTTTCGAATCATCTTTGATTGAAAAACTGAGTATTTTGGTTATAGCACTGCATACAACGATTAAGAAATATTTTGATTGGTAAATTTTCCTGGACATGGCCGACTAAAGAAATATAGCGAATACATAAAGTGGTAGTAGGTCACAAGTTCTACATTTGGCACACATAGACGAACTTCAGTTCTGCGAATTAGAAGGATTGTAAGAGAGGAATCTCTACCGACTACAGTTTGACGCAATAAGTTAGCCTCACAACAATGTTTCATGCCTTTTCTTAAACTAACTAGCCAAATACTCTTAAAAAATAGACAGAGGCGGAAAGAGAGCAAAGTTCTAATCACCAATATTATATTAAAATTCTCTAAAACTAGTTATCAAGGGAGTGAAAGTGCAAAGATCAACAGATAGTGTTGCGAACATCAAAAGTCATTATGACAACGTTCAAACGTATATTCACAAAACTGTTTTTTAGTATCTCGCATCAAAACGTATCTAAATATTTTATATTCACCGTATTCTACGGGTTCAATACTACGTGGTTCTCAGGTGTTCTGTCTAATTCATAAGCTTAATAAATCAAACGACCTTTAATCACTCAATTGAGTGCTGTAACAAAATTGATGAATTTTTCAATCAAAGACGATTCGAAAAAAACTTTCAACAAATGTCTTAAAATAAATATATTGTGCGTGGGTATGTTATGATCTGCCTTCCCCGGTAAAGGTTCATTCTCTCTCCATTCTGCTCTTGTACCATTCTTGCGCAATTCTGTTATTGCGCAACTCATTCTTTCGTTTTCGTTTCCTTCCGCAGTGTATTTTCCCAACTCTTTCTGTTCTTGCGCAGCACTTTCGTCAGTCTATGATCTTCCTAACTATTTCTGTTGTTATGTAATTCCTGAGCAACTCTTGTTTAACTTTGTACTATATATAGCTGTTCATTTGCTTCAAATAAAGATATCGGAGTGAGAGTTGATTCTCACTATAGCTTCACTACTACGATTAGAGTTAGCCACTAGAGGATCTATATCCTCACAGGGTAATCATGTCTACTAGCTCAAACACTTGCAGAAGTGAAAACTTGATTACCTCTAGTTTGTGGGGTTTTACCTGCAAATCTCGTTACTTTTGATATACCCTAAGTATATTCATAATATTACAATAAATAATGATATCGATGATTATCGATGAATTAAAAATCATACAAAAATACGCAACAGTTGTTTATCATTCATTTCTAATTGTCAGTAATAAAAATCCAATGATGGATCATAATACCTTACTCCCGTTTATGTTGCTTGAGTGGACCTTCCATGGCCTTTTTCATAGCTTTATCAATCAACCAACCCGGTAACCATGATAGCAAATACGTCTGCACAGCATGTGGCCAGTACGGCATTACGCTCTTTCGACCACATCCAACAATCGACAAGACGTGTTTGGCAAATACCGTGCTACTCGGTCTAAAAAAAGTGATCGGTGCCCGATTTCCAGCACTATGCACACTTCCAACAATCAACGAGATTATCTCCATTGAGTCATCAACCTCTCTAGAGAGGGAGTTTGAAAATGCATTATTATACGCTTTGGTGCCTGCATACACTGTAAGATAAGGCGGTGGTTGTATTCCGGCCCATGAAGAAACATTGAGGATAAGAGACGGTCGTGAAAGTTGTGCAAGTATGGAATGAGTTAGATGCGTCGGAAATAGTACGTTCAATGTTACTGTTTCATCGATTTCCGTACTTGAAAATTGTCCAAGCTCTTTCATTGGACCAATGCCGACGTTGTTGACAAGAACATTGATGGAAAATGACTTGATTGCTGATAGGTTCAGTTTACCGTCTTTGCTTCCGTCATGTACGATGCACACAACCTCTCGGTCTGGATATTCCATTTGGATTTCGTTCTTCACAGCAGTCAGTTTGTCCATATTTTTTCCATGTAATATGACATTGAAACCCTTGCTGGCCAGCTCGAGAGCTATTGCCTTACCAATTCCATCTGTAGCTCCTGTGACTAGAGCATATGCATCTTTACGTATGTACTTTCCGATTGACGAAGGCCGAACGTAAAGATAGATAAACGAGACAAACTTATAGATGGTGATAGCAGTAGTTGACAGGCCAATTACCGACATGATAGAGTAAAGAGCCATGAAATTCCCCATATAGACCAAAATTAAATACAGTTTTTAAAAATATTGACAATTGATGCGCTATGATCTGATGTTTGTGAATAATTCACTTTGGCTAGCGTCGAAGAAGTATACAGAAATGATTTATTTGAGATACATTCGTAACAAGTACATTTTAGTGATGGTGTCAACTACGAAGACGTATTATAATGATATTCAGATTGGAGAAATAATTTTTGTCTGTAAACGACGATGCGGTGATAGAAGTAGTAGGACACGAGGAAGAAGATAAATGTGATAATCAGCTAAATGAATATTTAATAACTCATCTAAGGTAACAAGTAACGTGGTACGCGCAGTTGAATCTTAGAAGGGACTGTTCCAATTGTGACATAATGATTATTCAATAATATTTTAGACAAAATTTCGCCGGTTCTTTTTCATGTGATAATCATTCCATCACAATTTTCTTTTGTTGTTGTTCTTCGAAAAAAAACGTTTACCTTTCCTCTACTTATAATGATACATTCTGTTTCTCCTTTTTGCTTTAAGTTAAAATAGTATGTTATGTTTTTACTACAAAATAATATAAACGAGCGTGGAAGAAAAAGAGAATAAGAACAATGTAACTTTTACCACAACCACTTCTTTTTCTTTTTTTAATGTACGCCGTCGTCGGAAAAGAAAAGAGGTGATGGTGGTGACAGTGACATCATTCTTATTCTCTTTCTCTTCGTTTATATTATCTTGTAGTAAAAACAGAGCCTACTAGTTAACAGGACCGCTATGAATTTATCCTATGTGAAGAACCCCACAGAAGATCTGCTCCACGTAATACAATCACTGTCAATCTAAACAGGATATTATAATTTATATCATGCTAACGTTTTACTTCCAACACGATGTAAAACCTTTCTCTTCCACTCTGCTCTTTATAGTTCAATCACAGCATCTGGCAGTTGTAATAAAATGAAGTGGATATATAGTTTAGAAGAGCGTGCTAGTTGGTGAGCAACCCGTTCGAATAAAAACGGTCAAAAAATTGAACATTGTCTTATATCAGTAATAATTCTGATCTAGGAAAAGTACTTTTGTCACATAAAAAAAAGAACTTTCGTCATACGTGACGAAAGTGTATGGCATTTTTGGGGAGTACCACCCTACACTTTGGTCACAAGAGTGGTGAACTTTCGTAACCAACAACTTTGTAACATACCTACAACTATCGTCACATCCCGTCGCGAACTTTCGTCATACTAATAATGTAACGGGAAATAACGCATTAGAATGTGTGACGAAAGTTCATGTGCACAACAACGCTTTATATTACCGTTTTTCTCATGTTTAAATATTATTGGTATTGATTGTAAAAGAACTGCTTGTATTTGGACTACTCCAATTTGGACTGCTGCAGTGTGAATAATCATTCTAAAGACTTTCAGAAGGGCTTTAAGAAAATAAAAACCACAGGACTCTAGCTCCAAAGTTTCAAAAATCATTCGAAAAATACCGAAGCTCGCTATTACTTGTAACAGATTGCAGGAAATAAATTGATGTTCTATTCGAACTCTGCCTGTATTTTAGCTAACTGGTTTGCGAGATCGAAACTATATTTTTCGATTACAAAAATGCGCGACAGTTGTTCATCATTCATTTTTAATTGTCAGTAATAAAAATCTTATTCCAAATATTCATGATTTAGCACACATTCTGTCTATTTTTGTGCTTTATAAAGCACAAAAATAGACACCCGAATATATTCGAATAAATTTAACTATCCAAATTGGATTGTAGACTATAAAAACACGCAGGCAGTTCTTAAAGATAATTTATTGCAATCTCTTGTAAATAATATAGTAATATATACTATCAGTTTGTCTATTTCGCTATACTGACAATACATTTTTTTATCAATTCGAAATTCAGACATAGAACAACGAAGTTTACTCAATATCAATTTTTAGTCGAAATCATACGGCAATTACCATCGCCATCGGCTGGTGATGGCACAAATGATATTTGTTATATTTGTGTTTATTTTTATTCTATATCAGAAGACAAATTACACACTCTCACACCGAAAACCCAGAGCCATATATAATCTGAAATTACCTAGTTACATCAGAATCTTCTGAAACACTCACGCATAGATATGATGTAACTCCCACACAAAAACGGAAGATATACATCTAGGATAAGAGAGAGACAAAAAATATATAAACATTATTCATCATCAAAGGAAAGACTACTCAAGTACAATATCTCTTATGGAAGGAGGACTCTTGACATAACAATATTCCTTCTATATTACAGCCAATTACAAAATGTTAAGTTGATGAAACGAATAATTACGAACTTTTAAATCTAATATTGTTAAATCTGTTAAATAGGTATTTATGAAATAGTACTATAAATAAACTGTTTATATTTCGTTCTATCATCAGTTGTATCGATAGGCTAATAAGACAATTACATTCTTCTTTGCCATCATCATTTTTGTCAAGCTCTATTACTGTATGTTTTCATAAATATAAGTCATTCGATGGTGTGAACACATTAGCAGACAATATTAAGTCACTTGTATCAATTAATTATTTTTTACGAACTACGTTAGAATCTATCCGTGGAAAAGCGGCTCTGAATTAGAGCATATTTTTTTGAATTGTGGACTTTCTCAAATTGATACCAATACTAACACAATTATTAACCCAATGGCTTTCAGCATAGAAGGAAACAGCAAGAAATCGTACGTCTATTCACAGTGTATTTCACATGAGTCATTAAAATCACCTAACTTATGAATTATTCTTAAGTGCGATAAATAAAAATGAAAAAGCTATTGATTATTATATAATGTTACATCGAAAATACCCCATCGTTACCTATAATAATATTGGTAATATTTATCAGAAATGAAAAATGACTTACATACATCAGCATCTTGGTTTAATGTAGTATCTAAAATTATTCGTACAACAACAACATCTGATTTCTCATGATGGTGAGTTTTAAATCACGTCCAGTTCTCACAATGACAATATAAAATCGAAGTCGTTACTAATAAATAATATACCTATTATTCATTGGCTGTAAGTCTATGGGCATAAGAAATAAATTGTTTCTGACTGACGTATAGAAAAAATGAGTTTTCTCAGCACGAAATAAAATTTAAAAATAAGCAAACCATACTTTTAAAGCTGAGCTTACAGCGGATACAATGCCATTGATAGCATTCGAACGTCCATGAGCGACAGGCGTTTACCTTCGAAATAGATTTAAGATCATTTTTTAACTGAACTTTTTAACATCACCAAAGATGGCTCGTCTTAAACTGCAGTAGGCTGTTACCTCAAATAATATCATTTTTAACTCGTCGCTAACTTTAGCACCAGCTACAAAGCCTAATGCTAACTGAAGGTCTTTTATGGTCGATAAAAACGAATTTGTCGATATTAGCTGTTCTATACTATTTTTTACTTTTTCTAGTTCTTTGATGGTTATCCGATGAGAACGATGCAGCTTCAATACGCACGAGGAATATCTATTATTTTGTAGTGGGGATTCTTGCTCAAGTTGATAACAGATCTATGATGTAAAATCGAAATGCATATAGCAAATCAAAATCTCCAGTCCGAAGAGTTCTATTAATGAGACGATAGATAAAGCAATCGCTTGTGTACTATTTTATGGCATGCTCAGGCACATAGGTCTGTCAAAATGATTCGATGCGTGATGATGATGCACCTTATTTTCTGAAAAAATTTGAACTCCGGAAAATGAAAAAAGTTTTGATTCCTAGGTATCAAAGTGTGCTCTACAAACTGAGTGAAAAATCTGGATGAGAGGACCTCCTGTCTCCTTAGTGCGTCTTTTCCCGAAGTCACACCAAAGCGACTTTAAAAGAGTAGCAAAAATACGACTAAATGGAACCCGACTTACGCGTCTTCGTAGAAGTCGCCTTTTTTTAGAGTGTATTTTGATTACAAAATATAGAAACATAGTCAGGTGAAGGTCGATAAAGTGAGAAATGGAAGAAAAAACTGATTAGTTGATTTTATTTTGGTAGCACCCTAAAACATAAAGTCTTGCATGAAAACAAACAAACAAGCAACAAAAAAAGTGAAGCGTCATATGCCAAGAAAAACATGCACTTACTATCGGGAAGACACTAAAAGTGTTTTACGCCTATAATTACTATAATCTTTAGATCTATTTGAGTTCCACCTCACTGGGTTTCTATATTTTGTTACCAAAAATCTGTACTGAATATTTTCTTTTTAAAAAAATCTAATGTATAAGTAAGATCAGTGGCTGTTGCCTGTAAAATTGCTCTCCATAGAATACGCAGCAAAATCAAGAAATTATCTCACGACAGTCAAGCATTGGATTGAGCCTTTTAAAATATAAAAAACAATTTGCACAATATTATGAAGCACTGGTCCCAGTTCCGAGATATGTCATTAGTGATCGTGCCCAACTGTTTATGCAGACTGCTTTGTGAACTTTTAGCAATGAAACGTTTACTGATTTTAATCATAGAACAGGTTTGTGAGCTAAAATCAATGGTGAAGGCAGAACCTTGCATATTTTCGTTCTTTAATGATAGCTCTTCTGTACTGTTAGAAATGTGTATCTTGTCAGTACATAGTATCAGTTATCGAAATGTTATAACACCATAGCTGCAAGAAATAAAAGAAACGTTGTCAAATAAACTACTTTGACAATCTAATAGTTGTATGCACTTATTGATACAGACAGAC